TGCAGCCATCTTACTGAAGCAATTATGCGTGACTATATTATGGGTGTGACCACTGCCTCTCCAAGCGTAATTAGTCTAGTTTCTTTCTTTTGACGTTTCGATTTTCTGTTTTATAACGCAACCTGTTGAACTGACCGCAGGTTACACAATTATATGCATGTCACCAAGTACCTGTTGCTAATCAATCGCACGGTATAAGAATTGTTGTACTTAAGAGCCCCATGACATAAGTGCCCACTTACTGTGAGCACCATGGTTCGATAAGTTACTACTTCACCATTTTACTTGTATGTTCCTATTGTACGATAAAATATATTAATACAAATTTTTTCTTTAATTAACTTGTGCTGCGGCTTATCGTTAATTCGTACGCACTTTTTTAGCGTACCAAGACCACTGTGCCTGCTCCGGTGGCCTTCTGCCCAATCACCGATTTAATTACTCTGTTACTCGTACCGTGAGGGTGTTAGTTCGTATACGGTGCGTTGTCCATGTAGCTTGCTGTTCTTAATCATTTTCTAGAGGCAAAAGTAAGTGCAGTACACCGAGTTCGCTGGGCAAGTCCTGTGAACTTATTGCTATATTGCTCATAACTCTATTGACCACGACACATTATCTATCCCTATTTATTGAAATATGTAAAATATTTCAATAAAGTTTGCTTTTCCATCTTTAGCTTAGATAATACTTAACGTACAATAGAAAGTAATTTATATGCAATAAAAACTTGATGTACTTATTATTTTAGCACATAATTATTCATGTACTAATTTAATGTTTTAATATTACAAATATAATTTTAATCTCGTTAATTCTTCCTTAAACTCCTCGTACTTCTCTTTTTCCACTGCACTGTCATCAGTTTTTTTTGCGATCTGCTTTCTTAATATCCTCCATCCTAGTCTGTCTCCAACTCACACTCTTCTTTTTCTTTCTCTCACTATCGTCGTCCTTTGTCTTTTCGACAACCGCCTTCCTCGATTTCTCCTCTTTTTCTTTTACCTTATGCTCTGATTGAAATTGTGCAGGTTTCAAAGCTGATTTCAAATGAGCGGTACCTACACGACCTCCAGTGCGTGCGTTTAGCCTTTCGGAAGCATTTTCCTGCCTTGCTGTCGCCTTTTCTTTTTCTTTCTCCTTCTTTATCGTTGACCCCATCTCGTACTCGTTGCCTATACGACTCTCCCGCGCTTTGGAGCTGCGGTTTTCTAACCTTCAATTGCACTCTGACTTTTCCAGCCTCTTGACTGCTTTTTTTCCTTCTCCGCCTCCTACCTTCTTACTCAGGATCCTTTCCCTTGTCTTTTTATCTTTTAACCACACTTTAATCAATTTTTAAGCCACGCCACACCAGAAATATGCACTCACAGTANTTTTCTCTAGTTATAATTTTTGCTTAAATACTGTATTTAAGTAATTTTGTTATTTGTAACCTTGTACAGTTACATAAGACACAAACTATAATTTAATTTCGTATCAATATTGCAATTGTTCCAATTTATAAATTAAGCTCATTCGTGAGCTTTCACGAATATTGTTTGGAAATTTAATTAGAAAATTTATATAATCATCCCTATGAGATTCATCAATACCCTTATAAGTAGCATGATCTAAGCTGTAATATGTTTTCATTCCTTTTCTTACATAATTTAGAATATTATTTTTTCAAAAGTAGGTATATTCAATATTAGAAGTAAGTATAACGTTATTTATTAAAAAGTTAATATTATTACCAAAAATATCATAACAGACATTAGTTGTTTTCCATTTTTTTGACACTTGCAATAATTCAATCAGTATAAAAATACTAGTGGGACATCGACCTTCTGTGCAGTGTGCACTTCGCGCGCCGACCCCCTAATACTTTATCTTAAAATATATTGCGTATAAATATTTCGTATTACGACATACTATGTGAAGCATTATATTTATTGTGAAAGATAACATTATACTGCTTCAATATCTATATGTTGATCCATGTATTTGATCCATCGTTAATTTGAAAAACCAAGCATTGATCCAGAATAAATCTTACACCGATGATTCTATTCATTAAGGATCGTGTAAGGAGCATATACAGATGGTCCAATGAAAGATCAATCTCAAATACTCTTATGTACATCAAATACAATAGAGAAATACAGTCAAAAATTTCAATACAGAGTAATTGGATCATTCATCTTTACTGTAACTAACTGAAACAATGAATTTCAGCTCTTTGGCAATTCGAGACACTTCTCTCTCACGTTTAATTAGTTAATCGTTATTAATGAATAGGCACGTATTTGATACTTATTTAAGGCTTTTATCTGTCGTATAGATAATTATACATATCCGAGATGGCAGAATCTCGTCAAAGATACTCCCAAATATCTAGCGCCAAATATGCTTTTACCTGGTATATTCTGTCTATTATCAAATGCAATTACCCCATTACAAACAACTTCGGTTATTCCGTATAATTTTAATCCAGTCCGAATCCATGGTATTTGTAAGAAATAGGGTGCAGTTACATAGAGCACGTAATCCGCAATACGTAACCATGTATACATATACATACTGAATCTTTTAAGTCGTAGTCTGCATGGAGTGTCCGAGGGCCACGAAAGAGAAGAAGTTACCAAGAGAGTAAAAGCTCATTTTTACGTCTGTATTTGTACCATATTCGTCTATAATGCTATTGTGTGTGAGTAAACGTCAAGGTAGGAAGCGAATCCGTCTTAGCCATCACAGTGTACGTGAAAAAATTGTTCTGAATATACTTAAGCCAACTATAACTTTATATTCGCAATATCAATACTCTGCTGTATCTTATTTTTAGAACCTGACTAAGACATTAGGTGAAAAAAATAAGACAAAATCGAAAAATTTGAGCAAATTTAGTCTTACGATTATTAAATTATTTTTGATCATAAGTTCACATAGAAAATAAATTTCAATCTCTTTCGAAATATGTAGTAATAAAAACATATGTATGTAACTGGGAATTTAGCTCTTGTATGACTCATGCACCAAACTATCTTTCTCACCTAATTAAGTTACAAGAATAACCTGATATCTGATCTATTTAGAATAAATTCAAATCCAAACAGCTGTCCAAAAAATACTTTTAAATATGTAAGAAAATATTTTTTAATTACGTAGGTAACTAAATTTTCATGTAAGTGTTTCTTAAATCTATGTCTTCAAACAAGCTACAACATCATGTTTCCGTATTAATCAAGAGAATATGTTTTGTGGTTTTTATCTTTAACAAAACATGTAAGGTGATAAAATACAAAATTAATGTAAATAGTTTTCCTTAGAAGCAGTTATTAATTATAAAAATAAACATGTTTTTTTACAAATAAAACAAATTTTAGAATCAGAGGATGCATCATGTAAATGCTTAATGTACCCACACTAAAACAATAAAAGATACAAAAATTTTATGGTTAAAGAAATATGTTTTAGTAAAGAAATGTTTGACTTGATGCATATAAATTTGAATAATGATAAATATAAAATGAATAAAAAAAAAAAAATATTGCATACTATTTATGAACTCAACGAAACAGTTTTATTTATAGATGGTCCTAGAGGATCAGAGAAAACTTGTTTATGTAAGACACAAATTTGTTATTTCATTTCTTAACATGGGGTCGGTCATGCCATAGCGACAGTGTTGCTTGTAAAAGGTATGACAGGTAATAGAACTTTTAGACTTCCGTTGAACTTGCGAAGAATAGAGATTGTATTTTTAAAACTTAAAATAGATAACAAAAAAAACGTGAGAGATCGATTTGATTATTGAGTATAAAGCTGTAGAAAAGTTAACGTAAGTTAAAGGATTCATGTAATACAGAAATATATTTGAGAAATAAAGTAACTGTTTTAGGAAGAGATAGTAGAAAAAACTATTAAACAATTATGGTTATGGATTTCTCTCTGAATTTAAAAATAATACGTTAATACTCATTTTGACAATAAAGGGTGCTCAAAATTATTAATAAAAATTGGGAAAGAAAAAATAAAAACTTATAATATATATTAAAAAAATACATCGGAAGATGTCTTTTCTGAAATGTTACATAATTTCAACAATAGTTAAGTTTATGGTATTATACTTACTTCGCAAACTAATCAATATACTTTTTTAAAACAAGAGAATTTACTTTAAAATTTCAAGTAAATTAAATGGAAAAATGAAATCTTGTAACAGCATACATAACGCAACGTACAAAGGTATTGATGGATCAAATGATAAGATTTGCACAAACTTTACCGTAGAAATGTTAAACAAAATTTCAGGAAGGCTGGCCGTTCCATAAATTTAAAATTAAATGAGGAATAATGAAAATATTCATTAAAAACATAAGTATATTAAACCATTTGTATAATCATTCACGACCAAAAATGATTAAGTTGTTTATGATTCTTTTTTATTTAATACAGAAAATAATTTTGATTAGTTTACGATCTTCAAGAAATCTTATCTCCCATAAACAGAGGATGAAGTACCTACTGCTCAAATCAGTGTGAGTATTTGTCCTTCGCACGAGAAATGTTCTGTAATTAGTTGTATAAAAAAATATTAAATTAAAGCTAAGATATTTATGAAAACAGTTTCTGGGGGTGAGGTTAAGACATGGGTTTCAATTATTCAAACTGTACGTGGACTGGTGAAAAAAAAACACGTGACTAATAATTTTTATACCTAGCAACACATTAAAATTTCATTTAAATTGGCGTCTCATACCTTGTATACTTTCTTTGTGAGAACCTCAATGAAATACATGTTATTGCATCAAGTTTTCAATTGTACTAAAATAATGCAGTAATGGAATTAAAAGATGCAAAATGTTTTTTTTATGTGATATCATTAAAATAGCTTTTGACGAATTATTTTTTTAGTGTGGTACTCTTGAAAAAAATTTTTATCAACTTAGTGCATTTGTAGCATTCAAGTATGATTTAAATGAAAGAGCATAAATTTGAATAATTTAATCTACAATACGTACCTGATTAAGTTCTGAATCGTAGCCTCCACTCACTTTACCATAACATGTTTCACACGAAATGTGTCTTCGAAAGTCAAATTTACTGTAACAATATAGTAGCGTTAAAAACCATTGTTAAACTATTTAAAAAATCAAAAACATAAATAATAGTTATAAAGAAACGATATTTATTTGACAAGAGCGAGAAAAAGTACCAACAACTTAGTTTTGCAACAAAATAACTTGAATTGACATATACTAAATTTTTACAATAAGAGACCTAAGAAACTTGTTATAGTCGTTATTACATATTATTTAACAGGTAACAAGAAATTTAGTTTCCCAATTTGCCACAAGAACTTCAAAAATATAGTTTTTGATAGAAAAATTAGTAAAAATACTTGATTTTTTTTATTTTATTGAATCAAACAAAGCTTCTGTTTACCTTGCAAGCATTGTTTAATATATATAAAAATGAATTTCTAAGCTATTAGTAGAAATATGACTTCAATCGTTACTTAGTTCACATTTATTTTCATATAAATCAAAAGAGCACTGTAGTTTTTGCATATCTAAAATCCATGTAGATAATTTATAGTCAGTTTAAGGGAAAAAAACTTTTGACATATAAAAATGAGATTTGAAACAAAGTAATTTAACTATTTAAAATTTTCTGATGAAGATCCACCTAAATCAATTATTCAGTCGGCCGAAAATTTTATTATCCATTTAAATATATAAATCATAATTCATGGTATTTTATACCTGAAATCCAAACAAATTAGACACTTTAAAATCTTAAGTTGCTTCTTTGTTTGTCTCGAAGTAAAAAAATGTTAAAAATTTCTCTAACGTTGATGTATAAGGAACACATACAGTCTATCAGTATCTTTATTATTTCAATGCACTTAATGTTTGTACGTACCAAAAGCTTGTCAGAACAGCCTAGCTTGTTCTACACTATTGAAAGTAAATCTGTGTTTTATAACCAGTTGCCGATTAACATTGTAGCATGTTCAATTTTTGGAGGCCACGAAGAGCCACAAAAAGATAAGACAGAATAAGGTGGTTTCTACGATGAGACAAGGACGCCACTATCATGAAAAACTTAACTTACATTAAACTCGCTATTACCAAAAGAATTGGATAAAGTATTACCAAGAAAATTAGGAATATATCCTCAGGTGCTCTAGCTTCCTACAAAATTTGTCTGAGATTAGAAATATTCGTCCTCTTTAATATCTTTAATATTTTTCAACAACAGAAGTGTGGTGAAAATGTTTGAAAATTAAAAATTTTTCAATTGTACCTTAACGTTTCTTTAGTACGTGTATTACTTTTCAGATCTTAAAGTGCAACAGAAAATAATTTAGAAGCAATTCAGTAGAACGGCTTCTCGCCACGTGAATAAAATAAAAAAGAGTTTTGGGCGTATTTTTACTTTCTTATCGTCGATTCTAACTTTTCTTTTTTTTTAATGATTGTCTTTTTTCCCCTCTACACATTGGTATGCTTTTTATAAATATAATGAATCACGTTCTGAAGATGTTATAAAATATAAGTTCTTTTCCTATATCTTACGTATTGAATCTTAAACTTTAAAATACTGTACCTTACAAACTACGCGATCGAAAAATGTAAAGAAATTCAGATACACTTATGGCAACATCAGAATTACCTGGTAAAATTTTTATAACATTAGTAAATTAAATATTCACCATAGGAACCACCTTAAAGCACATTTGTGCAACAGATAACCTTAAAACTCAGAACCTTTACATTTCAAAGTTTTTCTACCTGAGTTAAGTGTATTATCATACCAACTAACATGCGTAGATTGTACAAAACACGTATGTACACTAGTACGCACACATACATACATACCAAAATACCTCGGATTTATTTAACTGCTCATCATCTAAGTAAAGTTGAGTTCTCAATTATTTTAGGCGAATAGAAAATGCAGGTAGAGAGGTGATTTCCCGTTAGATGTGAGACATCGTTGCTTTAACTGTGGAGCACAAAACTTCTGTAAGGTAAGTGAATTCACAATTGCAAGACAGATAGTTGTCTCAAGACTAGTGCAATGTACGTAGGGATCTGATGTAAAAACAAACTGAAAATAAAAAACAGAGTGGTAGAAAAAGTTTACACAGGAGCTCAAAAAGACTACTTGGATTAAGCACCTCCAAGGCCTTTCAACGTTGAAGTGGGAAATTCTCTAGCGAAGTACCTGGGAGGTGATTATCATACGATCTTTATCCGTAGCTATTTCCTCCTATATTATAACGCTATTAAAATAACTAAAAGAGTATATGCTTTTTTATCTTTAGATCACATATTTCTATTTTCATACAACAAAGTTTTTCATTCATTATAATAGTGAAAGATATATTAAAATACACCAAAAATATTAATTAAATAAAATCATTTTCTTTCAGACATATAAGCAAAAGTCTTTCATATTTATCTCATGAGTGAAGTAAAGACGTAAATATTTCAAGGTAGTTTTAGGCGTAAATATTTTTGCTTTGTAAATAAGCAAAAAAAGAGAATATTCAAAACTAGCAAGCAATAATGAATAGACGTACAAAAAAATTTTTCGTTGAAGAATGCCACACACGCATCTTGTATGCTTCATGTTTTGTTCCCATATCGTTCATATGTTAGTGTTATAACCTTCCATCTTTACCAGTGTGCGTATAGGTGTTTCCGTTTTACTTCGTTCCTAACGTTACTGTTTATTTACCTGCTTCCGTCAACGTATATTTTTTTGTGCAGCGCGTCCAGGGGCCACGAAAATTTTAGGAACAAAATTTTTTGTCCGTATTTTATCAATATTGTTTCTTTATAAGGGGGTGAGCTAAATGTCAGAATGTCTGTTGGTTACGCAGTTATCAGTTATTATTATTTTTTTTTTCGTACAATTTGTTGTTCACTCGCGGCTCGTCCGAGAGCCACGAATTAATGAAAAATAACGCTTTTTCCTATATTCTTATGCATGTACGTTTGTGTATATCCTGTCTTTCTATACCATACTATATTGGTATACTAGCTTTATTATTTATACATTACATATTGCTTCTGTCATTATAATTAATAGAATTAATATTGCACATTTGTGCAACAGA